ACAGCCACATAAATGAGCACAATAAGCTTATAATGTAATAATAAGACTCAGTCTTTCTAATGTTATATAAAAATAGCCTCCACAACACCAAACAACATTAAATAATTACATGATATTATAAAATAAAATAACAGTACTTACCAGAGTTTTTCAAGATCAGATCCAGGTCAAGAAAGCGCAGAGAGGTAGGAATGTCACTCATTGTCCCTCTCTTTTCTTAGAATGACCCTGTGCATTTTTAAAGTTGAACTCCTGCCCCTTATAAACCAAAATAACAATAGCCTGGTCAATGGCTAAAAAAACTGAGAACCAATCGGTGTAGTCCTGATAGTTTAACAAATTAGCATGTTTTTCTGGCAGAGAAAATACTTTTTAAACTTATTCTTTTATATATATAAAAATGTATATATAAAAATGTTATATGCAGATACACATTAAAAATATGTAGATACACATTACAAACATGTAGATAATACATGTTTGTAATTATGTTAAAAAATTGAACAAAATTCATCACACTGAAAAAGACTGTAGAATTTTTTCTCTATCTTCATAAGAAAATAAATCGTGAAAAGTTTTTTTTTAAATAGCTAGAAAAAAATATGGTGCTTAACTTGAAGCACCAAAGTCCTTGACCCTGTTTATCATAAACAACCGAACATATATATATCTTATTTTTAACCTTATAGTGTATTTATTTTAAAGAGTCCTCTCCTGCTGATGTTCAGGTGTATATCAGTAATACTGTCTCTACTTTAAAGAGTCCTTTGTCCCATGTCCAGAGAGTGTGTTTTGGGTGTGGTTAACGAGTCGTTAGAGTGCTTCTTTTGTCTCCACACAGAGTGAAACTATAACCTTACATTGATCTTCAGTAGACGAAGCCTTGTATGTTTAGAAATGAATAATTTCATTTCACCCACACTCTTAATTCTGTGCATTTTTAAGTGTTTACAGCCTTTCTTTGCTCTGATCAATCCCCTGGATCCGCCCTGGAATGAATACAACAGCAGAAATTCATTTAAAAAACGTATTACCCCAACACAACCTCACATAACTTCATATGGGGATTCTTTAATAGTTGTGTGAAGTAATTAAACATTAGAAATACAATATCAGGGGGTCATTAACATATTTTTAATTATTATTACCCTCTTTTCAAAAAGAGAGTCCCTTGTAGTTAGTAAAGTAATTAAACATTAGTTCACAAGCCATACAACTTAAGAGAACATCTTTAGTTAACACAAATCATATTAAAAAAACTAATCTAATTTAGAGAGGACAATAAAGTTTTAGGTGACTTGGTGAGTGAAAATTAATGGCTAGTTATAGGATAACATCAAAATCAAGAGGTGATAGGAAGGGGGAGAGTGAGGGGGACGGGGGGAGACAGTCTCACACATCCAGACTCCATTTTTCATGAAGAGCCTCAGACGGAGGGGTCTGAACCCTGCACAGATACTGCATCCGTTTCTTGATTGGCGCTCCCGACGGATGGCGGTAAGTTGTCACAGGCGTCTCACTGATTAAACGCATATCGATGCGTCTCTTAGCCATTTTCTTTTTGAAAGTTTAGGTGACTTGGTGAGTGGAAATGACTGGCTTTTTATCTAGTTTGCACAGATTTATTTTTTACCTTCATTTCATTTCAAACCTTTATTTATCCAGGTTGTATCCCATGGAGATCATTGACCTCTTTTTCAAGGGAGACCTGCTCAAGTAGGTTCCACATGAAACATTAAAAACATAAACAGAACAACAAAAGGACATCATACAGTAGCATTACAGGGATTACAATTTACATACTATCCACATGCACAGGTACCAACAGCTTCCGATTCAGTAGCATCCAACCGAGCTTTAAAAACATTTAGTGGCACCAGATTGCTCAGTTTCCATTTTAATTGCAGACTATTCCAGGACAGTGGAGCTGCGCATCTAAATGCTATTTTCCCTAAGACAGTCCTAGCAGTTGGCACATTTAATAAAACCACAGCATGCGATCTCAGGCAGTAGCCACTTACAATTCGCCGTGAGATCAGGGAGCAGATGTAGGATGGAAGTTTCCCTAACATGGCTTTATATATAAAAATGTACCAGTGACTGAGCCTCCGTACAGTTAGTGAAGGCAAACCTGCCCTTGCATACAGGGTACAGTTATGGGTTAATGCTTTACAGTTTGTCACAAATCTCAGTGCACTGTGATACGCAGCATCTAACTTGACCAGGCAATGGGCAGGTGCATTCATATAAATCAGATCACCATAGTCCAGCACAGGTAAAAAGGTCACAGTGACTAGCCTTTTTCTGGCCTTGAGCGAGAAACAGGACTTGTTCCTGTAGAAGAAACCTAGTCTAACCCTCAGTTTTTTAAGCAGGTTATTGACATGACGTTTAAAAGTGAGACAATCATCAAGCCAGATACCAAGGTATTTGTAACAGGCAACCACTTCAAGTTTTATTCCTTGCGTAGTTAAAATATCTAAAACAGGCTTTGGTGTCTTTTTGGCTTTTGAAAAGAGCATTACCTTGGTTTTATCAACATTTAAAAGAAGCTTTAGTTCAGAGAGCTGAGTCTGAATAATGTTAAAAGCAGTTTGCAATTCAACAACAGCCCCCCTAATGGAGGGACATGCACAGTACACAGGTATCGTCCGCATAAAAACCTAACCTACCTAACTCCACCCCCCACTATCTTCTGGTATCACAGCAAAAGGAAGGGGGGGGGACAGGAAGGGGTGAGAGGGAGACAGGGTGCGAGGGGGACGGGGTGCGAGACAGTCTCACACAACTTCAAAGAGACTGCCTTAATTAACACTAGTTACAAACACTGATCAAAGGACGGACTTCAGAGGCTAATTCGATTATAGATCAAGGCTAATTAGATTTACATCAAAGGCTTATAACATGCCGGTGTGATATCGCACCTGCACGTTATAACACCTTACATCAAAGGACAGACATCAAAGGGTAATTAGATTAGATTGACAACAAAGGGTCTACTACAGGGGGACATATCACACCTACATGTGATAACACCTCAACCCTCAAATCAAAGAATATCACACCTAACTGTGATATCACACCTACATGTGATAACACCTCGAACAAAGGGGTCATTAGCATATGAAAGGGGGGAGGTGTGACCTGTCACTTGTTATGCATACTAATGTGATGGATGCCGCATCCTTATAACTACTTCAGTGGTCTAAAATGGTCATACAATGGTGCCGACAATATTATCGTTTATCGCAATAATTTCCGGGAAAATGTATCCAACAAAATTAATTATCGTGAGAGGCCTATACATGAAACACACACACACAAACAAATCTACAGACTTACTCTAAACTGCCAAATATATTAATTAACACACTCTCACTCTCATATACTCTTTGACTCTATTTTGGCCTAGTAGAACAATAAGCAGCAGACTTTTACTTTTTATCATTTCTACTGGATCTTAGATCTGCGCATGCGCAATACGGGTCGGGGTTTGACCAACCGGCTCCTACTGCTCTGCTGTCTGTTAAAAGTGGTGGGGGCGGGGAGGGAGCGGATCGACAGCTTGAGCAGCTGTCAACTCAACATTGTAAATAACCAACCAAAAACTTTACATTTTACACATTTTACAAAAATATAAATGTGCAAATATGAAACATACATGTCAATATCACCTTACTATTGGTAGCTGAACTGTCAATACCCCAAAACATGTTCTTAGATAGAAATACAATTTTTTTTGTTATTTAGACACAATTAACACTTATAGTTTCACGTCTTGTTACATAAGAAAAGATAATATGTGTTAAGTGTTATTATGGGAGAATTACTGTTCTTGTGGTAGCCTACTACTGCCATATATTTTAGTGCTTTTATTTACAGAACATTTTTGAAAAAACTAAATTACATAAAATAGAAGAACAAAACACACATATATATATCTTTATATATATATATGGCTTGCAGAACATATTTCACAGATACCTCTCTGCTCTACAGCCACTGTTAGCCACTATTAGACTTAGATAGGCCAAACAACTATTCAATCAAATTAATGAATCTAAATAATTACACATTTATTCAAATGTATCTTAAAATAATGAAGCACAATAAATCGAAGAAGTCATCATATGCTACTACTTTTGACCATTAAAGCCCTAAACAATTACATATTTAATTCTAAGAAATATTGTCACCCATGCCAATAATAAAATTATAAAATGCAATAACGTGCTTTAACCAGTAGGTGTCCCTTTCTATCAGCTGTGCACCGTTATGGCGTAAATACAGCCTATCTACCAATTGGATCAAATATAAAAGTCAGTCGAATTAGTGTTGATACTGCAAGGAGACGTATTGTGTGAAAAGAAATGTAAGATGTTGTTTAATTGCTTATATATTTAAGATCCACGTCAAGTTTTTAGTTTTGGCGGCAGTTCCTGTTTGTCTAGAAGTCTTGTCATCAGGGCTTTATAAATAGAGTTAACTACGGCAGATATGTAATATTTAATGCAGCCGAAACGTGTATTACAATGCCGTTATGTGTTAAGCAAGCACACTCGGAATAATGTATTATTTAATTATTTTATACAGTCTATGGTTGCTACAGAGGATTGTGGGTAATGTAATGTCTTCGGCCATCCAAAACTCATAGAAAACTACTTGTTTCTCAGAATTGAAGGAGAAAACGTGACAAAAGCATTGTACACACACTAAAACCTATCAATGTCGTTTAATTAACAAGGATAATCTGGTGTTTTTGAGTTGATGAGTAGTGGAGATATCATTGTCAAATCAATCGACAGTAAGGGGAATACTTACTTCCGGGTGTACAATTCTCCGTTATCCAATGGGAATGGACGCTCACATTGCCTTTAACAGCCTCCGACACAAACGAATGCCGTGCTTCCATGAGCGTCAAATCCCACTGCAGATGGGAATACATTGCAATCAGTTGAAAGCTATTTGCGTCTGTTTATGAAGCTGAAGGAGCCTAGGAGCGTCCCAACTGCACGCCTCGGGACCCTGACCAAGCGTCGCTCCTGGACGTTTATGGAGTGAGAGTGTGTTGGTCAAGTAATTGTAGTGCATGCACTCGCCACAATGACTGTGTGTTTGAATGTGTTGTACTGAGTGTGCCTTTTACCATGTGTCATACGCAAATAGTGACAATGTCTCTGTCACAAAGTGTTTCACTATATATATGTTTTTCTGTTTTGCAACTTATAAAGGCTGCGCATGAACCAGCTATTTTGAAAGTGACTGTGGTAACACAACATAAGTAAATACACAGGACATAGGACTCCCCGGATCCTCTTCTGTCGGGTTTATATTGAAGGTTTCTGTGAGACCCTGAGGCTGGTATCCATCGATGCTTCTGTCTAAACTGTTTCCTTCCTGAAGCTCAGGAAATGACCTGGACTGCTGATCACCAGGCTTCATTATCAGGTTGTAGGATGGGTTAGAAAATACACTTCCAAATGGAGAAGATGGTAATCCTTTCAAAGATGGGAGTTCTGTAGTTGTTGCGGTCAGGGGATCTGGGGGGCACTTTTTCTGCGGCTGGTTGTAGTAACCCTTTGGAGTTTGGGAAACAACAAATAATATGTTCTCCTGGCGGACAGAACCGTTAATTGGTGTTTCTTCACTACACACTAGCTCCAGAACATCCACAATATCTACGTCACTGTGATGACACTGATCCATGTAAAGGAGATGACATCCATGTTCACCCTTGGGGAGAAAAATGTACATTAATTTAAAAGTGGGTGGTAGCTTGGAGTGCAAAAAGGTGGATAACCTCTGAAACAATGATGCAGCGAAGTAGGGAGACTAAACTTCTAACTTAAACTAAATCTAAAAGGTGTATGCCCCCAATTTAGTGTTGCACTTCCATAAAGGGGACTCAGAAGAGACCCACTAAGATTAAGAGTGTACAGCCATGCTAGAAAATCTGCAAAGCTGTGCACTTTGAGGCAATGCCAGCTTTAAGTGAACTGTACATCTTTTCAAAATGTTAACAATTAATAATGCTAACATATTTAAAAATGTTTGCATCTTATGTGCCATGCTAACATTTGCTAGCTTTGTGATCTTACTTTTATAGTTTTGCAGGTATCCGATCATAAACCAAAGTATTTGAAAAGTGGAACATGTTATTAGTGATAATGCAAAAGTTAAGAAATCACAAAAGTAGCAAGGCATTCGAGCCAACATTTTTAAAGATATATTTCAGTCTTGGGCTGAAGTGGTTAAATCGATCATATTTGTAAAAATCAATGCATATATTTTTGACAAGGGTCCTAGCACAAGCCAAGATCCAAAAACACTAAATCCCATTCCATTCATGTCATCTGTTATTGAAGCATTCCTGCCTTTTTAAAATGATCACAATTTTCACCCTTTTAATGTCTCAAGCTCAATTAGACTTTAGTAACCTCCTTGCCGAGCCACTATATTATATACATGAAATAACAGTGTTCTCGGTTTGAGTAATACTCTTCAGGGCGAATAAACTATGCATAACGTGCCCCTTTAAGACATGGTTGTAAGGACCTACCACTGATGTCAACACCGGCTTTGGGATTGGAGGATAGACCTTCTGTTTAATACTGTGGAATGTAAGAATGCATGGCAATAAGTCACACGTTTTTTTTTATGTAACCATCAGAAGCAACAATTGAGCCAATTGCACAGAAGAGTTGATAGTTTGACTTACCATGTCCAGTGTCTGAAGCAAAGCATAGTTGTGAGGGAAAGGAGACCAAAAACAGTGACGAGGGGAATAAGGACTGCGCCTATTAAGTTTTCAGCTGGTGAGTTCAAACAAACAGCACAGATAAGGAACAGGTCATTCAAATTAAGAAACAAATACATGACTGTGTAGTGTTTCCATAGTTTTAGTCAAGAATACGGATTTGTTTACAAAGAGAAATTGTAAGCTGAAAGGGAGAAAGACATACTCGGTGAGTTCATGGTGGCAGTAATGAATGCAGCGCCACATTCTCCAACTGACGTCTGTGCCTTCATTGTGAAATTGTAGAAACCCATTTTAAGGTTTCTTGCTCTCAGTCTGGTGGCGTCAGGATCGTCTGAGCAAAATAGCAGAGCAAAAGAGATTATTATTACTAATAAACATCCTGAATACCCAAAAAGCTCACAATTTAACCCAATTCAATTGTTGTGCTTTGCCTTGTATGTGTAAATATAAAAGTAACACTCCATCAAAAATACCAATTTACTATTTTCTATATATCAGAATATATGTGGTATATAAACACTTTAGAAATGATATATTATTACACAATATATTGTGACTGTATGCAGCTGTAAGGACATACAAAGTATTTTTTAATGCACAGTATTTACTCTAGGACAGTGTTTACAGTGGGATGGTTGTTTTTATATCACTATGTAGTAAACAGAAGTCAAGTTGCTCATTTATTTTTCCTATTTGCATGTGGATAAATGAGTAATCTAAATAAATGAAGCGTCGAACATCTGGATAACCGCATATAAGATTCCTGGTTGTGTGTATTTAAAGGTCCCATTACATGCTTTTCTGGTTATTACCCGTCACCTTGTGTGTTATGTAGCTTTTTATGCGTGTAAACGGTCTGCAAAGTCACAAACCCTCAAAAAGTACACCCTGTAACGAGGTGTCTCGCTGTCCCGCAGACCCCACGTAGCAACCAGGAAACGACACCAGTAATCCAGCTCACACAAGCCGTTTAGGACAGAGAGTGAATACACATACTATACAGAGATGCTGTATGAGAAACCAATGTGATTTTGGAACATTGAACAATGTAAATCTATTCTAGTAGACCTCAAAAATGGAATTATGATCACTAGAAATGGCCATCTCATGGGACCTTTAAGTGGTCTAAAATATGTTAATGTTTTTTAGGCCAGGTCCGCTAACGTTAGAACTAAACAACAACACGACCACACTGATGTCAACTTTGGATTATTCAACATTCGTTCTCTTACGAGCAAGGGTCCTTTTCTCCAAGATCTCCTGACGTAAGTCTGACTTTCTCTGTTTGGCTGAAACGTGGCAAAAACCTAATGACTTTTCACAGTTGAATGAATCTACTCCTCCTGGGTTTGTCTGTCAACCACTTGCCACCGGGAGAGGGGAGGTCTCTTGCTGATTTACCGCAAGAATCTAAAGTCTCGTCTGTTTCTGTGCACCGCTCATTTGAATCGCTTGCCTTACAACTTAAAGATCTCCTATCATGCTATTTTCAGGCATATATTATGGGTCTCAGATATATAAAAATATATAAAAAAATGTCTATGATGTGTTTTGCTCAAAATACCAAACAGATCATGCATTTTAGACATCCCTCATATCCCTCTATTTCAGCCCTGTTACGGAGCTTACACACGCCGGCGTGCGTTGAAGCTTGCCAGCGGGCGTGTCTGACGCTCGACCAACAGCCAATCACATGAATCTCCCGCCCCGGACACACAAGCATGCTGTTTGATTGGCTAGAGCTTGTACTGGCATATGATTCGATTGGCTGACGCTTCCGTTGAAGCGAGCAACGCGAGCAAAGCGTGACGTCACCCCATTCAAAGTGAATGGGCAGAAGCGTTGAAGCTTCAAAGCACGCCGCCGTGTGTAGGGGCCGTTAGAGAAGTGATTCTGGGTCAGTAGCTGCTGGCCCCGCCCCCTTTGGAGCACGCAGGCACACACTTTGAGCTCTGGCAAATACAGCTAAATGCTGCCGTGATTAAATGCCATATCATGTTCCAAACCACATCAAGGATTATATCTGAAAAAGTATGGAGCTCAAATGCTTTTTCTCTTGCGTTTTTTTTTTGCATTGTTCATAATATCCACATTTCATAAAAATCTCCCAGAAATATTATGTTAGGGGAGAGTGTGCAGAGATGTGTGAGGAAAGCAGCAAATGCATTTATGAAATCATTATTTGGCTTAGGTGTACAGTAGACAGTGGCAACTATAGTAGGGATTGGCCCATTAAAGGTGTCCTATCATGCAAAATGCACTTTTTGATGTCTTTTATAATAATAATTCATTACATTTTCATTAGAGCGCTTTTCCAGGTGCTCAAAGCGCTTTGCATGACATATCACACATATTAGACATGTAACAGTTATTACTGTGGACAATACCCACAGGAGCAAATTAGGGTGAAGTGTCTAGCCCAAGGACACAACGGCCTGACGCAGTGGCGGCCGAGGCGGGTTTCGAACTGATGTTCACTCTAACCCACTGTGCCAAAACCGGCCCAATACATAAATACATTATACATTATAATACATACATTATACATTATAATACATTATACATAAATATGTGTCCCCGGTGTGCCAGGGAACTCACAAAGTGTCTCTTTTCCTCCGTACCCAAATCTCTAAAAACGGGGGAACAACAGAGTTGATCCAGATGTGCGTCCGATATGACGTAATATCTGGGGCTGTCAAGTTGACAGACACATTTTTTAACGCCACTAATTATTTTAACGTGCGATTAATGCATGTGTATTTGTCCTCAGCAGCCCCGTAGTTTCATGAAAATGAGACCAAAAGGCTTGACGTTGTTGTTGTTAGTTGGATGGTGGGAGATTCTAGCGAGAGATATGGATACAAAAAAAGGTGTTTTAAACAACAAGCCAAGCACACAGCTGATGCTGACTGCCGGCAGACCACGCTTGAAAGTTTGCCGGGGAGACGCCTGGACAACAACAGCGATAGCTAAATGGGTGGCTACAGCTTAACATTGTGGAGGACGAGGGGCTGCGTTAGATAATTCGGATCGCATTATTATTTTGACCCACAGTCTCATACTTTGACTGAAGATGAAGACAGAGGAGCGGCATTTCGCCGACAACTGTAAACAGGCTTGTCTGTTTGAGCAACTGGCTCAGTGCAAAGAAGTAGACAGGGTTGGGAGAGAGTGTAAGAGAGAGAGAGAGAGGTTCCAGGCTGTTGTATTGAAAATATTCAGGAGAATATTTGTCATTGTTCAGAGGTTGTTGTGTTGAGAATATTCAGGAGAATATTTGTCATTGTTCCAATGATAATAAACAAACATTTGCATAAAGCATATTTGTCCGCTCATGATAAGAGTATTACAAACTTGAAAAATATTCCTCTAAGGTACATTTAGAACAGATAAAAAATGTGCGATTAATTTGCGATTAATCGCGATTAACTATGGACATCATGCGATTAATCGCGATTAAATATTTTTTTTTTACTGGAGAAAGTATGTGTAAAAAAGCAAGAAATAAAAAAAGGAACTCACCTTGTAGTAAACCCGCAAGAAAAGAAGCATTTGAGCTCCATACTGTTTCAGAAATAATCCTTGAAGTGGTTTGGAACATGATATAGCGTTTAATCACGACAGCATTTAGTCACAGAACTCACAGTGTGGGTGGTGCTCAAAAGGGGGCGGGGCCAGCAGAGAATCAGCCATTCTCTAACAGGGCTGAAAGAGGGATATGAGGAATGTCTAAAATGCATGATATTTATATATCTGATACCAATAATATATGCCTAAAAATAGCATGATAGGAGATCTTTAAGAAACCTGGTGCAGACCCCAAAAAAACAAATGCATCCAAGGACCCTGCCCATTTGTCGGACAATAACCTCTACGAACAATTTCAATCTGGTTTCCGTCCCCTTCACAGCACAGAAACAGCTCTGGTGAAAATCATTAACGACCTCCTCATGACAGTGATAAGACCGAGTTTCTCCTCATTGGCACCAAATCCACCCTAACCAAACCTGACAGTTTCTCCATTTCCAACTCCTCAGTCTCCCCCTCCCCTCAGGTTAAGAGTCTGGGTGTCATCCTCGACAGCACACTTTCCTTCAAATTTCTCATAAGTTATGTCATTCGGTCTGCTTATTTCCATATACGTAGCATTAACCGCCATCCTTGTTCGCACCCTGGTCCAGTGGCGGCTCCAGAGTATTTTTGTTGGGTAATCTATGGTAGGGCTAACCCATATAGTGGTGGGGCTCAAGTCAGTATTTGCAATGTAATTACATACACGCTATATCGCCCCCCTTGACAGTGAAACGCCACGCGTGAGGTTTAGATTATTTCCCTGTCTCAATCCAAATTGAACTGTATGAAATAAAAAGGCACATTTGTCTTGTAGTAAATAAAAAGGGCGACCTGGAGCCAATCCTACAATTTCCCCACAGGTGAAAGAGTTGACATGCTGAAAACCCAACCCCTGCAGGGGGGTCTGGGGGGATTCTCCCCCAGGAGATTTTTTGAAATACTAACATAAAATACACATTCTGGTACTCTCTTGAGAAGAAAAAAAGTAAATCTATTACTACACATTTAAAAAAATGAATGTCATTTTTGTTTTTTGTTACTTTGTTCTGAAAGCTGAACTGAAGTTACCTACTGTAACTCCAGCTTCTATGAGTATTGGCGTAGCCCTCTAAGGCTATCGCTATTGGGTAATCCCCCTGCGCACCCGCGCAGCACTGAAACACTTGTAGTCCACGCCCGCCCGCAAGGTGGGCCCCACCCTCGGGCTCCCTTCCGGTATAAATAGGAAGGAGGCCCGACAATCTGCTCCCACACAAAACAACTTTTCTTCAGCTATTCGTGGAGCCAGTGGGGCCCAGAACTTAGAGGGCTACGCCAATACTCATAGAAACTGGAGTTACAGTAGGTAACTTCAGTTCTATTTCGTATATGGCTTCGCCCTCTAAGGCTATCGCTATTGGGTTAAGGGCGAAGCAAGATGTGGTCTGCGCCCCACTGGGTCCGCCCGGTACTAGAAGCACAGACACACCTGCTCAGATAATAACCCATGCCTATTGCGCCATGCGAATGGCGCATCACAGTCCCTGGAATATAGGATAACATGAATATTTACCATGAGGGGACGAAGGCTGGGAATAATACATACCTGCCGCTGTGAGAAAGTAGAGACGAAGGTCACACTTTGCCCAGCGACAAAAAGAGGGGGAACAAGGTGAGCTCTCTGCGTGCAGACAGGCAGGAGAGCACACAGCTGGATCCCTGACATCACTCACTCTGACAAGACACTCCGTACAAAATGTGTCAGAGGAAAAAAGGAAA